GGGAGTTTCGTTAAAATACTGCGTTCTAAGTTATGGCGTGGAAAAACCAAGTGAACAAGCATATGGTAATTAGCACAGGCTTACCTCGATGCGTCGCCGCGGCTCTGTGTATCTTGAAGGCACAAGAAGTCACAACGAAGGGCATGTATCGACTCCCGCATGCAATCTACTACTGTAGCTAGCCCGTGCCAGACTCTCCGCGAGCTACTAGCGCGATACAACGAGTAAAGAAAAGAAAAGCCCAGCCCATTAAATAGTGGTACCGCGCATGCGCAGTTCGCCGAGGGTTTGCACTTTAGTGCTTTTCATTACTTCAGGCAGTTGTTTCATACCAGTCTACGTGGATATTATAGAGAGTAGAATTATGTGCGTCTTAACGAACTGGACCATTGTGCTGAAGTCGCCAGCCTACTGCGTGACAAACACAATAGAACATAGCTGGTTGTCAATTGCGCATGACACAGGTTGTGGTAAAGCTAAAGTGCTGGCACTTATCCAGTTATTACTGCATACCATCCTCGGGCAATCACACACACTTACATAATTATGTATAGTCTAGATGTGGCATTGGGTAGAGCTCTAGACTATACACTGTGCGTGTATTCTACTACCTGTACATGTGAACATGGGTGCAGTGAAGTCATTGCTGGTATATATGTAGGTCATACATCAGTAGAAGTGCATGGTGGTAGAAGTGCGTGTGTTGTAGTAACAGATGCCCTACTGGGAGCTGCAAATCCCATTCCATCGTCTCATTATAACCATGTACTGTAGTACATTTTAGTTCTACGTGATAGTATGATGTATGTAGTTTGTAGCTGAAATAGCTTTTTACAAGTGCTTTCATTGTGTTGGACATTCCCTGGCACAACTTGGTTAACATGCGCAATGCATGTGTATAGTTTACAAAAGAGTGCTTCCATTCTTTGTTTTCGCGTAATGTTGTGTGTGTGTTCTTCATTGGATACACATAGTCCATTTTGTATCTTAGTGTTTGTACATCCCGCCTATTAGTACTGGACTAATGGTATATACAGTACGCGGTTTACTTACGTGATGTTTATGATTGACGTACAATGTGTAAGCCAAACGGAGTAAATGTAGAGAGAAGTCTCCTGGGGGTGTCCAGGTGATATATGACATGTGACCCTCTCACTGCACCGTCAGGCAGTCTGATTTGCTTTTTCCTGATGGCTGTCACGGGAGTGTAGATCGTCGTTGTCGTCAATCTCAGCAGTTTGTACACGTATTATGCCGCAGCGGCTACTGTGTATATGTAAGTGGTCTGTGTGTCTGTCTCTCACCACTATTTTGGCTACAAGGCTGCCTAGTATGTGTAATATGTTTGATCTTTCCCACGATTTTATGGTCTCCTTAGTGTCTGGTGTGGGGGTCAGGAACATAGTTTTTGGTGTCCTAACTAAAGTCTATTTGACTTCACCTGAGCCCTCGGAAAATTTTCATAAACATTTTTCTTTCATCCAATTGTAAAAACGCTACAACTGTTGGAATCCTTGCAACTTTCCCGTTCTGATGGTATCCTTCACTAACCATGAAACCTTATTAGTATAAAGTTATATAGCTGTATGTCCCATAAGAAAAGTATGCCATATGTGGTGCCTGTATAAACAGTTTACACAACTACCTCAAGGGTTCTGGTGAACCCGAATATATAGGCTTTAGCATGTGCAGTCTTATGCTAAGACCCCACCCTCTGGAGGGGATGACTCCTGGACCGCTAGTTGCTTGCTTGTGTTGAGTCGACAGTCTTGCATTTCGAGAGATCAGCTACTCGCATAAGCTGAGATTGTAACTGTTCACTGCTCTGCCTCTGACATACGTTTCTAAAGGTTTTTTTAGCCTTTCCCCAAGAATGGTGAACTAACAAATTGTTGTGGTAGTAGTCGGACTGACCCTTTCCTCTCCAGGAGGATAGAATCACAAATTGTAGATGTAGTGGATACTCTACTACAATCTCACTTCTATACACATGTTAGTACACCACATGTACACCACATTGTGCTCTTATTGGAGACGTCCCCTAACGGCAGGAATTGCAGCAAATGGCTTCCGCTCCTGTTACGTTTCCAAAATATCTGTCCACACTGTACCACTTCATCTGAATCTTGTACACATCCCTCTCTCTTCCTTCCCTTCCCTGTTCTCTCTCTTCACTCTCCTCTCTCCTCACCTCCTCCCATATGTACTTGTACCACGTTTTCTCTCCCTCCCTCCTCCCTCCCCTACCCTCCAGGTGAAAGGTGTGATGGTTCAGAACATTGAAAAGGTGACTCAGAGAGGAGAGAAACTGGAGGACCTCGGAGAGAGGGCAGGTCAGCCACCCACAATCACATACATACCTCTCTTTTAATTACCCCGGTCTGCTCCTACACATACCGAGTGAGAGTATACTGTGCCATAGCACAGTGGTTGGAGGTTTGCCTTGTGTTGTATTGTGTTGAAGATTCGAACCCCTACCAACAGACTTGCCCTGGCTAGACTGCAGAGTGTCGTGGGTTCGAATCCCACCTAGGGCCAGCTCTTTTTCCTTGGAAAAGGGTTGTCCTGGGTGTATGTACATAGTTGACTTGTTTCCTTTGCCTTTCTGCCACGTTACCTCGTTTTTGACACATTACTCCTTTTTCACTGTTGTGTCTCAGGTTCTGGTTATATTCTAACCGTACATAATACAGTAAACCCTCCCCCTTTATTAGGCATCCACATGTGTTTAGATGCATGTGATTGTTGCATTCCTTAACACTGGAGTATGTGTTTGTGCCCTACAGCTTTTAATGTTTCCATGAACATGTTGAAGTACTGTTAGCATAGGTGTCATAAGGTGGAGCTATGCTGTAAACTACAAGGCACTAATGTTGTATATTACCAATTGCAGCTTAACATAGCAAAGACAGTAGAGACATGTCATCTGAATGCGACGTTCCTGTTCTATTAACGTGACTCTGTATCATGCACGTGTACCTAACTGAAATTTCACAATCGTTGCACCCCTCTTGTATTCGCTCACCAAACAAAAGCCTTGCTCTAGTCTAGTACATGAATATTATGGCAGTGTGTGTACATTAAGTACTGTGTATGCCTAAGAGGTCATGTGAGAGTGGGTGGGGGTGTGAATACACTTATTGTACAGTAATTGACAAACTGGCATTCCAAGTGTTGTGTGGGAGGATAAGGCCCACTGCTCCACCTCTGGTATAGCGTCCACTCCTAACGCCTATACACATGTAATAATATACACGTATACGCTTGTGACATAGGGTTTATACCAGTGTTATGGGCAGTGTGTATGTTGCCAGGATTATACACATATAATTATACATGGGTTTTAGCTAAAGCAGGGAAGCAGGGTGGTTTGCCCTCCTTTTTTTTTTATTCCCCCCTCCTTTCTCCCTGCTTTACAAAAAGGTATATACTTAGGCAAATGTGTGTAATGGTATAGTCTTTTGGAAGTGCAAGTGGTCAGTTGACCCCCCCCCCCCCTCATTTAATTGATCCCTGGCTAAAACCCTACACATGTACTGTAACATTACACAAATATTATTGTTGCAGGATGAGTATGTGTACATGAGTGCTCTGCACATTATGTTCCCTCCCTTCTCTCTCCCTCTCTCGTCCCTTCTTTTGCCCACCTCTCTCTCTCTCTCTCTCTCTCTCTTCCATCTCTCCTCCCTCATTGCCTCCCCCTCTTACTTTATTCCCCCCTCTGTGTACAGACTACCTGAACCAGAACGCTGACATGTTCCAGCGTACGGCCACTCGTCTCAAACGCAAGTTGTGGTGGCAGAACGTGAAGCTGTGGATCATCCTCATCACCATTATCTTGGTTATCCTGATTGTCATCATCAGTGAGTATTTACACTAGCCCACAATACTTCACTATTCTTACACACTCCACTGCCAACTTATAATATGTACTATGACGTTTTTAAAACTCTTTTTGGGTTCGAATTACAACATATTTTCTCTAACGTAATACATAAAGTATGTTTCTCGATATTCCATTTTTTACTGAGTAGCTGGCTACTGACTGGGGTGAATTAGGTCCCAAGTTTTAATCCTACGACACCGCCATTTTCTAACCATTTGTAACTGTCCACGCTCAATACTAATCTGAAGTAACGTATACACCAATCATTCATAGCGGACTATTGATCTGTACTCTGTGTATTATTATTGGTGTTATTGTATGTGGACTCCGTGTTTGTTGTGTGTGTGTGTGTGTGTGTGTGCAAATTAATGTCAATCTCCTTTCTCCTCCTCCTCCTCCTCCTCCTCCTCACTATCACATAGTCATTATTGTAATTGCCGTGGAGACCAACAAAGACAAATAAACAAACTCCATCTATAATGTACCTTCTAAGAACTGTATAGTAATCGACTACATTCAAACTATAATTGTTTTACGTACGATTTATGTGTAACTGGTGTTTGTATTGTCAATAATGGCGTATATACTCACATGCATTTGTAATTTGCTGTCTTCTTGTGTTGTATTGATTGTTGTAAAGTGTCACAATAATTTTGAATGAAATGATGAACTTTTGTTACAAAGCTGTGACGATACGAATGTACATGTTGTTTAGGATAATGTTGTTTGTTGTCACACCATCATAAGTCCCTCCTCAAATTCCTCCTTTTATTCCCCGCTAACCTCCTCCCTCCCACACCCTGTGTACTGTACACTCCCATCCCTTTACTCCTCTTCCTCCCGCCCACTTTCTCCATTTCTGTGTTTCCTAACTCACTCTCTCTTTCTCTCTATAATTATAATTATATTCTTCTATCCCTCTTTCTACACCATCATCGTGTACTATGTATATATGTACCCTCACTCACTCTCTTCCTCTCACTCTCTCTTCACCCCTCCCTCCCTCCCTCCCTCCCTCCCTTTTCTCCCTGCAGTTATTGTGGTGGCTGTAGTTTTCTCCCAGCAGAGTAATAACAATAACTGAGACTAATGATGATTTGATTCGAGCACTTTTGAGAACTCAAGAGATCTATATTATACTTTAACACTATTTTAAATCTTGATACGCAATTCATTATAAACTTGCACAAGAGGATTTTTTATTGTATACAAGTCAGTTGTGATAAGCTGTATGCTGTCTGTTTAGTATGAATTATAATTATTTTGATGAGCATTTAAGTAACAGGGGTTCTGATGCAAAAGTACCATTATTCTGGAGCTACCAAAATGTTCCACGGTGTATATAGCAGTCATTACCAGATAATGAAAACTGCAGGATGGAATATATACAACCATCAAGTGCACGCACAGCTTATGTTCTATATTATAGCAGGTATAAACGAACATTCTCCTGACTATTGTATAAGATATCGATAAAAAGAATGCTGTTACTTGTATTCCCACAAACCCTTACTGATAGGCAGATAATGAATTATTTTAAGAATAATTATGAACTCATTCTCCTGCATGCAAGGTACAGTATGTAACAGATTTTGCTATAATACTTGTGTTACACTCACTGATGATGAGAGCCAGGAGGATGAGCACGATGATGATGAGGATGCTCCTCTCTCCACTTCTCTGCCACCAAAACTTCTGCTTGGCGCGAAACTGGGAGGCACTGTAGTCAAATGCATGGGAACTCTCCTCCAACTGCTCTGTTGTCAACACAATAATTATTAGTTACACACAATTGTTAGAAAGTTTTAATCACGTCGTGGAAATCTCCACTCTCGCATGTGCTGGCGGTAGAGTATGCATAATTATGTGTGTCTTACCACGACATTTTCAGCTAGGATCGACCACACTCCAAGTAGTAGTAGCTACAGTATTGTGTACTACTGTTGATGTATGTATATGTTATTACACCTTTTGGAGTGGTGTTGCTGGTTTATCCGCCCGACTCCCCGAGGGCGCGTAGCGCCCGAGGGGGGAGGGCGGATAAACCGCAACACCACGACAAAAGGTGTAATAAAATGTTTATTACCGCTGATTGGTCGTTGGTGGTGAAACCGCGCGCGAAAATGGCGCATCCACCCAAATAAGGCGATGCGCGTGAACCTGCGCATGCATAACGTGCCGTTATCGTACGCTCCAGGCAAACACGATCGACGCTAACTGGTCGATCGAGGGAGCGATTGAGGGAGCGAATGGCAGAGGCTTTCCGTTTGGAAGTCGAGGGTTGGGATTCTGAGACGTCGCTGCAAGACTCCGCGTCCGAGAGTAGCGCTCCTGGGGACGGGCCGTCGGCATCGAAAAGGCGTAGGCTCTCGCTGACAAGGAAGAGGGCTACGTGCACTACTTCCGCAGCTACAGAGAGGTTTGAATTTTTAGATGATGCAAAGAGCGAGGCTCTCAGCAACAAGTTTGTGCCTACGCCTTTTCGATGCCGACGGCCCGTCCCCAGGAGCGCTACTCTCGGACGCGGAGCCTTGCAGCGACGTCTCAGAATCCCAACCCTCGACTTCCAAACGGAAAGCCTCTGCCATTCGCTCCCTCGATCCTCCCTCGATCTGTCAGCGTCGACATAAGAACATTGATACCCAACCCTAACCACAGTGGATATTCACACCATTCCTTAGTTATTCACCCTAACCACAGTGGATATTCTCACCTTCTCACCCTCTTGGGTGGGTAGCTGATTTATTGTGCTAAAATAAACATAGCAACGACCTAGCAACGGGTAATAAGCAAGGTTGTACCTAGTGCGCATGTGTAGTAGGGTGTATAAATATGACGTGTATGTATGCTGTACTCATTCTGCTGGCTATTTTGCTGAATCATTGTACTATATAATTATAGCTGTACCGAGTGGCTCAGCCGATAATGTATATAGTCCAACAGTAGCACAGCCTGTCATATCATACAATATTATTTTAAGTCACCACTACGGCTGACACCTGCAGAAATTTTGACTGCACCAAGTATTATCCATCCACACATGTGGGTACCAGTATGCGCAAACATTTTCATTGTTTTAACAGAAAGTTACTTGGGAGTTCATGGATGCAATTCCCAAATATTTGACATCAGGCCCTCTCGTCACATGAACAAAGCAAAAGTGATAATTAACACTCGCTGTGCATGCATGCTGAGGGTTGACCAGTCAAAACAGCCATCTATACATAAACTAGGCTTGTCTTAGGCTTTCTCACTCCCAAAGAGAAAGAGAAATGCACCATTGAAGAGTCTGGCGAATAATGCTTCACCTGACTTCTCTTCCAGTTTCTGAAGCTCCACTTTTCTCTTTGCCATCTTCTCAACATTCTTCGACATCAGTTCCTTTATCTGCATCATAATAATCATACTGATCCAACGGGCAAAAAGTATATATGTAGCTAAGAGAGAAAAACATTCCACGTCCTAGCCATGGCGTCGTTCCTTCTCTCTAAGAAAGAATAGTTTCAGACGAGTTACAGGTGCTGAAAGGCCAAGTAAAGTAAGCCTGCATATTGCCCTCAAGTGACTAGGGTTTTCTCTAGCATTACATGAAATCCCCTGCTGCGTATATTATTATACAACACATGTTTTACGATGTAAAATAGTTGCTTGCCTCTGCGGCTTGACGGCTGAAATCTCTTGCTGGACTAATGGTGTCATCGTAAGTCTGGCGGTGAAAAGGCCTTCGAAGGGGCTCGCCTTTTGCCCTGCGGAGCTTAGACCGTTCACCACGAACGGTATACATAGTCGCGCGAAAATCGTCTATTGCGCCCGGCTCGCGCATGCGCAAAAAACGTCCAGTGACGGATGTTCACTTAGCTACTGTGAACCAGATCGGACAGAATCTTTTCCTTATTCGGAGGTGTAAATTTTCCTTCTTTACTGTAAATGCATTCATAATAATATCAATCTCCACTTAGCAGTTATGTGTGCATGCATATCATAATTCTTCATGGCAGTGGGAAAAGTATTACATCAAATTGCAGCATAAAAATTTCCTCTGTCGACTGCTAGATTCAAAAGCAACCACAGCACCACCAATGGTATCTGCAGAGCAATGTCAGAATAGCTTATAATATATAACTTACAAGACTGAGTTACATGAAATCAGATCAAAACAAATTGTCCTTTATAGAGAGGTGTTCTTTATTCAGAGTCAGAGAGTCTGTTTCACTATGGGCCAGGGAGAGCAGATTTTGCCAAAGAAAGCTTTAGGGATGGTGTAAAATTCAGAATGCGTGTGCACAAAGCGATTTGTGTGTGTGTGTGTCTGTGTGTGTGAGCGCGTGCAAGCGTGCATGTGTGTGTGTGTGTTTGACTCCAGCAACAGTAATTGTAGCTACCTATATTAGAGAGGTCAGGAATGTGTGCTGTTCCGAGATCCGTCACAAACGTCTGAGCATCTCCTACCACCTCCTGCATCTTCTGCTCGTTATGACAGAGAAAAATGGATCCAGTATATATGGACATAAACAACAATGTAGTCAAACATCTCAGTGAGGGACACTTTGGACACATAGACGTGTCCTTATTGGAGGCATATATAACTGTAGATATTTCCCCTATTAGTGTGAAGACTGGGCATAACCAAGTGTCCTTTATTCAGAGGTATCTCTTACTTGGAAACATTACCTTGTGCAGAAAAAGTGTTCTTTATTATAGAGAGTTTTTTGCTTTAATCGGAAGGTCCTTTCCTGGAGGTTTCACTGCAGAGCTATATACCTCATTGGCTCTTTCCAAGTCTCCATGTTTCTGGAGGAGCTCTGCCTTCTTCAATCTATCTTGGAGCTCCTCGTGTTTCACCACTGGATCAGCTACTCCTGCTCCAGACACCTTGATGATCATAAATACATACAGGACAAAGTGACACAATGTCTTCGTCCATAATCATGCATGTCATCGCCTATTGATTCTAATTATGTGTTAACCCTTACATCATTATTAGACCCTCTAATCCCAGATACATTCTTATTAGTGAGGTGTGTTTATTTCAGGGGTCAAATTGCTATTCTCCTTTTTACAGCCTACAGAGGTATTCTCATTATCAGGGGTGTGCTTATATAGAGAGGGGTTCCATTGTACAATGTATGGCATCTGAATAATTGGGAGAACAGATTTTAAAGAGATTGCAACCCCCCAGCAATTAGAGCTGTTCAAGTCGTCAAACCTGCTTCTATTAATTTGTGTGCAAACCTTGTCTGTGTGGCTCTCAGGCAATGATGGGACTTTGTGATTCCTGGCCAAGTCAGGACCGTCATCAGTGGACCCCGCTCCATCCTGCAATTTACACACACAACGTAATAATATACAGGATGTTACTAGCTCACATCATAATATGTAGCAGGTATATAGGTGCCTCTATTTCGGTGTAGTGAGTATTATTATTATAGTGCAGTGTAGCTATATAGAACACTATAATAAATACTCATCGCAAACTGCACAGTGTGCATTCGTGTATATAGCCATATTGTTATCCAATAATACAGGTTGATATGTATTCCTAATGTGTGGAGTTGCTCTTGACAGAAAATTTTATTTGCTAAGAGTCTGTTATAAGTAAAGTCAGTCTTTCGTCATGTCTGTAAAGTTCAGTGAGAATAATGATGTTAGGTGGTTCCATCGATACAGGATAATGATATTTGCCTCGATTCCAAATCTCCTGGTACAGGACCAAGGATGCTAAGTACGTACTTACATCAGGGGCACTGTCCATCTCCCCCCTCTTGGGCTGCCCTTCCTCAACTCCATCCTCCCTAACCCCAGCAGTACCAGCACTGATCCTCGACACTAGTCGTCCTCCGTACTCTCCGCGGATAACGGCATCACGTACCTCTCTCAGATGAACAGTCTCGCCCATACTGAGGGAGTGTTTCTGACTCAGGACTTGAATATCGTCTTCTCTCAGTAGCGACAGAACCTCAGTCGTCACCAGCTTCTCCTTGACTAGCATTTTCAGAGTCTTCTTCGAAAGATTTCTCCCACTCAACCAGTGCTCTAGCTTCTTTTCCATGTTGTATTCCACAGCAAAATCTTTGTGCACTCTTCATCGGTTCTCGACTCGGTTCTCGATCGATCTCGTCACTCTCGTGAGACAATGCGCATGCGCGTTGATTAGCAGCGAAAAGAAGGCGTGGCTCCGCGCGACCGCATGCAGTGCCCACACACGCACACACAGTTACACTCGGTTACAGTAGTGCGCGTCCAGGTCAGTAGTGTCTGCATCTGTTAGAGTGCTCGCAAGCACATCAGCTGACGACTCTGCTGAGACACAAACAAAATCGACACCACGAAGCAGCGGGCCTCTGCACAAAGCTAGTGCACTCAGTCTGGCGAGACCTCGAATCGCACTGCGAGGCCATTGAAAAGCCACACCACTATGGACCCGCCCTTCAAGAAGTGGCTATGCGAACAACACAACGCTCCTCCCAAGCTCCTCAAGAAGCTGGAAAAGGAAGACATCACCAGCAAAACCACGCTCTCCGCCCTCACTGACACGGACCTCGGGACTCTTGAGAAGAAGCACAAGCTCCCCATGGGTCACATGGTGATCCTCCGCTCCAGTAGAGACGAACTGTTGCAGGCTAGAGCTAACGGCGGCGGCGGCGAGAAAATCAGGTCTCGGTCGAGGCACGATGACAGTTTCGTCGTGTTGGAAGCTCCAGTTCAGAGAGAGGCGGTGCAGGGAACGGCCGCCACCCCGGCTCGGCCGGAGGATCAGCAACGGCGGAGACCCACCGGTAACGAGATACGGAGCAAGTACCAGCTTCCAGGCGGCGGAGGAGGCGGGCCGCGAGGAGGAAGGTACGCTCCGGCGGCCCCTCGTAACGGAGCTAGCGCCATGCCCAGCGCCACTCCGTCGCCTCTGCCAGATACGGCTCGCACGCCCACGCCTGCTGGAGGAGCGACAGGGGGAGGTTTACAGGTAATGATGTATGATAGGTCCATACTCCTTTTGTGCACATACACATCGCAATGCTGTGATGCAAGTCTGATGCCTTTATGACTCAGTGTTAACCTCCTGTGAACCACCAAGTACAGCTTCCTCTGGTGTGTGGGTGGTGTTCAACACTTGAACAGCATACAAAAGAAGTACATTTTATGGAGGAGGGAAAGATTTTATCCCACTGAATAAAAGTTGGGAGGATGAAATGTACCACGACACCGGTTTATTACCTACTGTAATAGTATATACTCTGCTCTGGGTTGTATACTCTGAGTGTGGCAAACAGCACTATAGGCACACATGAATAAGGGTCAATGATCATCATTGGCATGCTTCACTAATGAATAGCCTCGACTGCACGCTATTCAGAGTCGTACTTATTCGTATGTTCCCTCCCTGTCTCTTTCTCTCTAACTCCATCACCCCCCTCCCCCCCCTTGCCTACTTCACTCCCTCCCTCCCTCCCTCCTCCACTGACAGACTGCAGCTCAAATGCGGGAGCTCCACCAGAAAGGAGTGGAGAGAGGAGAGAAAATCCAGGTCCTGGAACAGAAATCACGTGAGTTTCTCTCAAGAGATTTCTTCTATTATAATGCACGGCGCACCCCTCAGCTACACTCAATGCAGTTGAGATCAGTAGCCTTTATGTAGTTTATAACATTAGATGTAGTGAACAAATCCAGTGTTTCTGCTGGCTTCCCCGTAATCGGGTATATATGTTTAGGGTCACACCAACATCCCCCTCTTTATATTGAACTCATCACTGGCAAGCAAGCAATCAAGCATTCCTGGTTATCTTATTGCTCATTATAGTAGCTGGCATCTCTGTTATTTGACAAACACGAGCAAACATCAGTGATTCAATCTATGACTCTCTTGCATTTGCTCACCAATAATGTATTGCATTCTCTCCAGTATAACCTGATGCAAATCAGGTTGGTCTTAATAATTTCTGGCTTTGTGCCATAATTATTATACTTTTTGTCAGCTACTAACCTACCTTACTTGTGTACTGGAAGTGTTGTATATATGCTCTGGTCGAATAACTGAATTGGCGCTTCTCTAGTGAATTGTAAGGTTAATTATCACGTTTCCTCTACATTGGACCAGGGCCTGTAGTACTAGATGAATGCTTAGCATTTTTTTGGTGAGCTTGAGCAAGCCAACATTAATGTATATATAGGTAGCTCAGTGGGCTAAATCACTCATGTGTAGTGCAAATGTAATGAGAGCAAGAATCCTCTGTGGTTGATGGGGAGGACTTTTTTTGACATAATTATTATAGGCATTGCGTAGACGGTAGTCCTATATAAAGAGATGCACACTCTATCATGCTAGATAAAGAACTCTGTAAGTCTGAGGACAAATCTGCTCTAGCTAGCATAGCTCAGCTCTTACGATCAATACCCTCATGCAGTGAACTCTATTGCACTAATGTTTCCAAAGTTTAAATTTACACATCCAAGTATAGCAACAAAGTACTAGTGTGTTGTTGATGGAGAAGGACATGAAATAATATAACAGTGAAATATAGCAATAGACTGCTCATCATTGTTGCTGCAAAGCATGTGTGTATGTGAGGCCTTCAAGTATGATAAAATCCCAGACGCAGATAAGAAATCCAAGAAAATTTCAACCAAGGGGGTAAATATTTTATCTGGCTGGATAAAAATTTTGTTGCAGTGTCACCTGTTGATGTGAGTGCATGGGTGCAAAGAGGCATGTCATGTTAGGTAAAATGCTTTACGACAGACGGAAGCTCTTTACTACAGTCACCCTTTCAAGGACAACGTTTGTGACATTAAGTATAGGGGAAGGTCACGCCAAACCCAAAAATATTGCCTGGACAAATTGGGGTGTAGTGTACTGAGTTTGTCGTAGGATTTTGCTATAGCGGTTAATGTGCTTGCACCTTTGCAAAGTGTATATCCACTGTGATTCCTTTAGTGTTTAATGTGAATAACATTTTCTAGTGTTGTCTTCCTCTCTTTGTGAGCAATGTATGGTAGGAGCAGCTTCTTTTGTATACCAGAGGGTTTCCGATACTGCTAGCTGGCAGGGCTATGGGTCTGCTAATACAAAGCAACGGTGAAATGCTCATGCTTACTCTGTGTGTAGCCAGGCTCTTTACTCGTGGGGATAAAGAGTCCTGTCCACTATGCATTATTATTACAGTTTTGTTTAGCACGCCCTCAGTTAGAATGACGTCATACTACCAATTGCACATGCACAGTACGCAAATTGACCAAGCGTGCTAAGCTATGCTTGTATAGTGTAAACCATACCCAACATCCGCATTCTTTCGCTCCACGGAACCGGGAGTGCGCTAAACAAAGCGCTCACGTCGGTAAACCAGACTTTTTCTCCCAACGAGTATGTAAGAGTCTGGCTGGGTGAGATTACTCTCTGTGTGTGTATGACAGTCTGGCTGGGCGAGTGTGATTTCCCAGAGCAGCTTTTAAATTCCTTGAACCCCTGTTGTTTGTAGTGACTGGCCACATACACCAACACCACCTCCACACTCACCAATCACTCTGACTCTGCCTTTGCCCTCACTGCCTTCAAACAGGCTTACTACTCTAGGAGTAGTAAGGGTAAGCCACACCACACTACAGCTGTGCTATGTACTCATAGTTTGCCTGTGAAATTGAGGGCTCAGGTGAAGTCTAATAGATTTTAGTAGTATATAGTATGTGCATTCCCCTTGCTTTTGAGCAGTGTAGCTAGGTAGCTATATAGCTGGGAGCTGTATGCCACTTTTCCTTGCTTCATTTTTTACTACATAGACTGTGGCTCTTAACCTTTCCTGGAAGAGGTATTCACATAGCATACTAGCTTATCTAGACAATGCTCTTTGAATAGTTGCCCTAGTATCAAGGGAAGAGCAAAACAAACTACACTTAGAGACTATTACTTCCGGGAGACTCACATATTCAAGGCTATTGAACTCCTCTAACATTGTAGTTGTCCTCCTTTCAAACAGCCCCACACCACAATGGCTTATTTAACATACAGCAAAAGGGGCTAAGCCACATTGCATAAAGTATTCTTGTGTAAGGGCTCCTTTCCAAGCTGGCCTACAAATTTGGATTTTGCCGGTTGCCCAATGAAACGACAAGTTCTCTATTTCTTATGATGGGAATAAGTAGATCCACGGAGGTATTTCTGCACTGCAAAACTTTTGTACGCTGTGATGCCACGCAGGACTATGGGATGGCTCCTTTGTGTACATGAACAACTATATCGCATACGTCTGTCTATGGCGAGTGACGGGCTAAGCTAACTAGTGGATCTGAATGGTTGCAAATTAATAGATCGGCAGGGTACTATCAGGATAAAATCGGTAGGTCAAGTTGTCTTTGTCCAACCACCGCCCCACCACCCACATGCATTGAGCAAAAAGTAGGACTCGCCATTCTCTAATGTTGGAAATTAATGAATATCTTTAATTTGACTCATACGTCTGCACTTTTAGCGGCAGCCCTCTCGTCTAGCTCGATTACTCTCACCCCAAAATGCTCTGCATTCTTGACTGTTCTAGTGAAAACGTGGTCCCACTGCCCCGTAATGCTCTGACATGAGCTCCCACTCTTGGGCTGAGACATAGCCTGTAATGCTGAAGTCCGAGTGGTACTTAGACTTTTAAACGATTTGTGCTTGAGACGCATAACTTATAAGGCCGTCCGATCCTATCACCAACGTGAAGACAGTAAAGTCAGCTATTGTCCCTTACTGAGAAAGGCCCTAAGGGCAGAATTAAATATTCTAAGACCCCGCAACCGGATTCTATGTTTTTCTTATTGTCGCCTATGCGTCTTGCCAAGTGCCCGCCCTGACATACGATATGCAACCGCCTACCGTCGTTCACCCTAGCCGTCCAATGTAATCGTATTTTAAACCCCAGCCCACCGGGGCCCAATAAAATGGTCCAGAGCCTCCCATAGGGTCCATAAGAACAGTCTATATAGGCGGTCATAACTACTTGGCCCGACAACAACCATGGTCTATACCGTGGATTTTCTGCTTATGTAAGGAGTCGGATCCGGCGCGATACCCCATGGGGTCCACACACAGGGCGTCTTTGTTTTTTCGCTCGTTCATTTACGGTGCCGGAGGATTGGCGTCGCAGCCATGGACTATGAGGCGGCATGCTGGTGCCCAGTTGCGCACGAGAGACTCGAACGAAAACAGACAGTCGGAGGACAAGAAGCGAAAGAAACAAGAAGAAGAAGAAAAAAAGACAGCAGAAGAAATAAGCAAGTAGAGTAAGGAATAATACGGTATTTTATAGAGTGATGTAAAACTCTAAATAAGGAAACACCCTGGGGACCACGACATACGCGTTATAGTTCGAGTGGCGGGGCAGTGAAGATTGCCGCCGCGTTATTATTGGGGGGAGCGGCTCGTACTTACCTAGTCAGCTGACGTACCTGGAGAATCTCGCGACCGCTGGTTGTGATGCAGACGCGAGCGGAAGCCCAGAACTGATCGAAGCACACCCACATCGAGGGACGAG